GCCCTGAAACTCTTGACTCAAGAGAACGTCTTGGTCGGTGGCTTCTTCGTGATTTCGGGGTACGTGTCAGCCTACACCACCACAAAGCTTGGGGCTTTGGGGGTTGAGGAGAAAAAGGTTGCAAACCCGGAGCTCTTCTTTTGGCAGCGTGTCATGGCCTACTACCCACTTCATTTCGTTTCGAGTGCCATTTTTGCTCCTATGTTCATTTGGGCGGAGAGGAACTTCAAGGCCACTTGGAACATGATTGCCTTCCGAGCCTTCTTGAACTTCAGCATGTTGCAAGCTTGGTTCCCCAAGGAAGCCGAAATCTGGAATCAGCCAACCTGGTTCTTGTCGGCCCTGACATTCTCCAATCTCACCATGCCCACCTTGGTGTTGCCTTCGGTTGCAAACCTCACGAAGAACGGTCTGCAAAAGCTTTTGGCAGCTTTGTGGGGAGTCTCTCTCTTGCAAAAGGTCTCCTATTCTGAGACTGCTCGCTTCCACAGCCACCATGAGCACCCTGTTGATGGCAAAGTGATGATGCCTTTGATTTGGAATTTGACTCGCTTCCATCCGATTTGGGCTCTTTTCGAGATGACCACCGGCATCATTGCGGCTCGCCACGTGATGCTGGACACTGAAGAAGAGAAGAAGAGAAAGCCAATGAATCCAATCTGGCTTTTCTTGGCCGCATACTCTTCGCTGGCACTCCGACTGACCAAGTTTGACTTCAACGATGCGATCATCCGAGGAGTCCTTTTCGTTCCTCTTTTCACGGAGTTCTTGACCGCCATGCACAGGGATGCTCTGACTCCAAACCCATCGGCGATCACCAAGTTCTTCGGTTGCAAGATCATGGCAACCTTGGGCTCCCTCGTGCCCTGGCATTGAGACCAGTGCAAGGAGCTTCAATCACTGGCAAAGCTCAAGGTTTAAACTTTGTCTGACCGTGAGATCCCGTGAGCTGTTTTTGCAGGTTTTTGCTTGCCTGAGGCCTTCCCGATGTTTATCGTGCACGGGCCTGTTGGCCAGGTGTTCTACAAGAAGGTAATCGCGAAAAAGCTTTGGGGGAAGCCTATGCCGCACAGTTTCTTCCCTTTCTACTTGGCAATTTGCTTGGCCATCAGCCATTTCACCAACGAGTACTTTGTGAAGAACAAGAAGGTGGGTGCCTTCTTCGGCAAGGTTGCTCAGTTCTTGGCAAATTGGACTGAGGGCATGCTGAGGGATCGCTAAATTTTGATGCAGCTGTAGAGGAACAACAGACCGATGAAGGTCTTGTTGACGCTCGCCCAGTTGCATGAGCTGTGAGTGCTCGATCCACACGAAATGTGGTGAATTCATTTTTTAGAAGCATGCCTTGTGTTGGCCGGGCACATGCCGCTAAGAAGGCCAGCCATTGGATGTGTCTCTTGAGACAGGGGG